TTCTTACACTTCTCTCCAATGAGGAAAACGTGTGTGATTTTTCATAAGAAAATAAATTGTGTCCACGTGTCGGGAAGCAATAGGGCTTTATGGGGTTTAAGCGTAAAGTGAAAAAGTATGAGCATTGGATTTGGGACATGGTTTATTTAAGAATGATGATGCGTATAGAATTGAAAAGTACTTTTGGATATAATTTAGCTAATTCAGATCGGATCAACTAGTTGGCTGATGATTAAGAAATCATCAAATATTGTATCGTGTTGGTTTAATCATAAAGAAGATAACGAGTTCGAATTTGATTACCTTTTATTTTCTTGCTTTTCGTGTTGTGTTTCAGATTACGCCACGATGTGATAATATCATATCATTTATTTTTATAATCGTGTTTATTAATCATATCGTGTTCGTGTCGTGCAGCTAAAGGAGTTGCGCCGAAACGACTCGTTATCTGATCGAGCCAATAAACAAGCTTGAACCTTAAGAGTCGAGCCAAGGTAATATAGTTTAGGAAATTATGTAAAATCACTTATTTATCGAGCCTAATCACGAGTCTTTACAAATCGAATTAAGTTTGGCTCGTTAGCATGTTGAGCATGTAATTACCATTAAGGTGTGAAGCCAGTTGAATCAACTCGTGCTAAAGTTTAGACAGAATGATAAAATTTGCATTTTGTAAAACCATATTCCAAAATGATTTGGCTTAGTCGAGTAAACCAAGCTCGAGGACTTTGCTTCAACAAATGCAACAAGGATTTACGAAGCTAACATACCTTCTCATACTCTACCTCCCTGAGCAACATCCTCTGGTGGTTGCTCCATATATACCTCGTTTTGAAGAAAACTCAAAAGTGGTTGCCAGAGATATGAGTAGCCGGACATAAGTTTTGTAACGGGAGAGGAAGTCTCAGGAATAATCAGTGCAATAGTTCTGATCATAACCTTTAGCTACCCAAACAAGCTTAAGATGAGCCATTGAGACATCCAGATTATACTTGTGAAAATCCACTAAATTCACTAACACCCGATCGCCTTTTTGTCAACAAGTAAATGAATTAATGTCCATGTACCACTATGATCAAGAGCATTCATTTCCTCAATCATAGCAGCATGCCAACCGAACGGTCCAAAGCGTTCCCTACAGTTTTAGGAATATAAATGGAATCTATTGTTGCAATAAATGAACGTTAACGGCGCCTCACTCAAAGGCGGTCTAGCGACAAAGAGTCAACCAATGTGAGGTGATTTTCGACACTCACCCAAAACAGGCACCACGAAACCAAAAGCAAACTGAGAATATGCATATATGGGAACCCAAACCCTAGCATGGCTCTGATATTATGATAAATGTGTTTGGGTAGAACTCATTTCCAAGAGCTAGGTTAAAGTGAGCGAATATCCAACCAGCCCTTATACACAATAACAACCCAATAACAAATCGGTATGAGACAAACATAACTTCTAACAGTTTATAACACAATTTACTGAATGTTTATGTAGTTGTGAGGAAACCATTTTTATGGTGAAGTGGGGACTATTTTTTCCTTTCTAAACTAGCCTAAATCATTTGTCCAATTTTCTCTTAGGCACGTTTACACAGGTTGCTTTTGTAGGTTTTGTGATAACTGATATGTACAATGTTTCAGACTACATCCAACTGATGCGGCATTTGGCAAGCAGTGTTTGTTCTTTTGCCCGGTGCATATGATGTTTTTGATGATAACTAGACTTCCAGTATTCTACAATTAGTGGGATAGTACAGTACGATCCTGATGGGCGTGGTCTTTCTCAGGTTTCAAACTTCGTGTGCCTTTACACGGTGATTGAAGCCAATGTATGGTATATTATACTGATTTGCACCTTAAGCTGGAAAATTTTGTTCTGCAAACTATTTTCAATGTGAAACACACATAATAACTAAAAATAGGTTCGTTTTAACCAAATGTAAATCCTTGCAAGTCGTACACGTTGTGAGTTGCGGCATCATTTCACATATGGTGCAATAATCAAATACAAACTTTCAGAGTCCATTGAGGTAAACAGCACATATAATATATACACACTCCACAACATATATACACGCACCCACAGAAGAAAGAGGCTATCTAATCAAATGGACTCATGACTGGGACCAACACGTACTTGAGCCGTCCGGGTGGTGAGCGAGGGCCTCATGGTGACGAGTGCTGATTCATTAGCTCCAGCTCTAAGAGCGGCTCTTCCAGCTTCCAAGAATCTTCTAACTGCATCCTCCGCATACCGGTTGGCTGTGCCCACGTTCATTCCTCGTCCAATATCAGGATACGTGTTGAGCATATAATCACCATTAAGCTGTGAAGCCAATTGAATGAGCTCCTGCTGAAATTCTGACAGTTTAATGTCTTCTTTAGGTCCATGTGACCTTAACGCCGTCTTAACTTCCGGCAGTGTCTCTGGAGAAAATTCTAAAGTTTCAGTTTTTCGTTTTCAGACAACTTCAACAACATCTAGAAACAACGCGAGAGATAGGACTAAAGTAAAAAAATGCAGCTCTTTTTTCCAGTTGGGAATTAGAAAAAGGAGGAAAAACTTTTCACTGGGGAATTTGTACAACACATAGAGTATGCATCATCTCACTTGAAAACGAGAGGTTGTCAGTAAAGAAAAAGTTGCTTCAACGGCATAGAGAAGAAAGTTCTGACCTGGACAGTCGTCTCGGGGAGTATCACGCAAGTAAAAGTATTTCTCGAAAGTCCCAGCCCATGCATCCCTTTTAGTTAGAAAATTTGATTGAAGATTGAAAAGCTTCTTCACGGTAGCAGGGATCGATGAGTGTTCGTATTGTGAAGATGGGGTTGGGCCACTCGGTTCATGAATCACTGCACCAAAATAAATAAGTGTAATAAGATCATTGGGGACAAAAATTAAATACAAAATAATATTGTAGAGAAAGAAACCGAAGCTGCTCCTGCTTCACTGGAGAACAAACTCTCAGAGTGTCACTTAAAATATCAATTTAGTTTGTATTAGAAAAACATCTACTCAGTAACATTCACTTATCATTCGATCCATTGAAAGCGTGTAAGAGTCCAACCAAAACCTTAGCTCGTTCATCCAACAACAGATTTTAGTCAAGTGAGCCGCCCTCGTGAACAAAAAGGAAGTGAACTCTGCAATTTTCTCCTTCTACAATCTCTTCACAGAAGTACTTGGCAAATATTGATTGTGATCTCTGGCACCAGCTAATTCATTTAATAGTTTAGCACTCGTAGTATTAAAAAATGGGTGAGGTCAGCACCCCCAATGTCAACAAGATGGCCAGCATCTGTGACATTCTAATTCGATATTTCAATTTCCATTGTCTACCTCGGAAAACCATTTAACTTTCAATAAACCCATCACTTTTTCATCCATATCCCCTGAAATCTGGATTAAGTGAAGCTGCAGTTTCAATAAACCCGTCCATTAATCATCCATATCTCCTGAAATCTGGGTTAAGAAAAGCTGCAATTTCTCCACTCCCAAATTCCATGAATAACTATCCCTATTCAATATAGTATTTATGTTTCAGATCTTGAAATAAATTTAGGCAGCATCTCCAGCTCCAAGTTTAGTTAAGGTCTGCTAAGCGTCCAACCAATCATCTTCAACGAGCAACTGATCCTCAGTATCATTTTTCTTATAGATAATAAAAATTAAAAAGTATTTTAAAAATATAGAAAGTCGAGCTTCTTAAATGGAATGGTTTTCCGATAAACCTATATCCTGGTACAAGCAAGACTTTGCATATAAGGGATCTATTACACATTCGAAGTGGTATTTGTAAGTTCCGTTACCCTCTGGGGCATGCCAACTGACAAAACGACTAGCATAGTTACTCTAATTTAAGTGTGGTGATGCCTCTAGGAAGAAAGTTTGTGACACTACTATCTAGTCAAAAGTTTCGTAACAAAAGTTTTCTACAGAACGAGTTGTCCTGACAAACAGAGAAAGAAAAATCAAGCAAAACTTGCTTGCTTCAACTTCCATAATCAGATCCATTTCTCTACTATGACTATTCAGCTCATATAAATCAAGACACTATATTCTGGTAATCCCCTCACAATTAGTTAAACATAGACCACATAATAAATTATCTGTAGGTATACCTCATATATACTAAGGAAACTTAGTAGTTCAAACACATTCCTTTTGATCTAAGTTCAAACACAATCCTCTTGATCAAACAATAAACTACTGTCAAAATAAATCATTAGTCAGTGGGCAGTTCATACCAGTGCCTTTGTCAATCCAGGGTGAAATCAAGAATGTGGGAACACGCACACCAAGCCTATCAAACTGAAAATAATATGGGTCAGGCCCGATGATCCCATCTGGGTTGGGCACACCAGAAACAGGTGTTGGCACATGATCATAAAACCCACCGTGCTCATCATAAGTGATCAAAAGTGCCATCTCCTTCCATTGAGGACTCGCCCTAAGCGTCTCGTAGACCTCCTTCACAAACCTCTGCCCGAGCGCCACATCATGAGAAGGATGATCGTCGTTTGCCGGAAAGAGGTCCACATCAAAGTACCTCTGCTCGATCACGACATAATTTGGGAGCTTCCCCATCTTAGCATGGAGCTTGAACTTCAACTTATAGTTATGGAACTTGACGGTATGCTTGAGCTTCCTAAGGCTCTTGAAGAACAGAGTAGCTGGGATATTCTGGTAATAGATACCGAAACTAAGATCGTTTTCGTCCAGCGAGTCAAAAATGGTCTTCTGAGGGAACCCATGGATGAGGTCCTTCCTAACGTTGCTGGAGGCGCCATGGGATGTGGCTGAATGAACATAGAACCGGTTAGGCTGAGTGGATGCGGGCACCGAGGCGAACCACCGGTCCATAACAGCAAACTCGTTCGCCAGCTCGGTGTAAACCGGTACGAGTTCCGGTTTGAACCCGCTCATGACGGTTCTGGACATACCCTCGACCCCCATGCTCTCCGCCTGCTGCGCAAACCCGTTCATCGGAGCCGGGTCGGCCGACGAGTCATTGGATCCGAATATCTGCTCCCTGATGGCTTGGATCGAGTGACCCGGGTCGGAGTCAACGAAGAAGGCGTCGTCGGAGACGAACACGGGCCGGGAGTTCGGATCGGATGAGTTGATCCTATTGAATTCGGAGCCGGTGAGGCCGTCGATGTCGGGCCGGACCCTCTTGAGCCATCCGAGCATGTGGTCGAAGGAGCGATTCTCCATCACCAGGACTACTAGGGTTTTGATGGGGCCTTCAATTTTGTGTTTTTCTTTTCTGGGGAAAGGGAATGAGTGAGAGACGGAGGAGAAAATAGTAAGATAGATGAAAATGAGAACGAGGAAGCGAGGGCGCTGGAAAGAGCCCATCTCCGGTGGGCTGCGCCGGCGGAAGGTGTGGAAACGTGGGAAACCGGAAATTTTACGCAGAAGGGAGCTATTGAGCTAATGTAACGTGTACATTTTTTAGAGTTGAATGGAATGAATGAAAAGGAAGAAGATTTACAGTTACTACTTAACAAGTAGTAGTCGCAAGAGCTAGAGAAAACTAGCATGAAAATATGTAAATAAAAATATATAATTTAAATTTAATAATATAAAAAAATTAAATTGAAGTATTGTAAATTATGAATTACTAGTATTTGATCATGACATTTGCACATATATAAAACACATTTTTATTTGTATTTATGAATTACAAATGTACTTTTATCATATAAAATTATTATTTTTTCTTAAGTTAATTTTATCATTCAAATTTGAGCTTTAAATTTTATTTTAATCATACAACGTTTACATTAGTAACATGAATAAAATAATTTATATATTGGTCATATATTAAGAAAATTAACATAAATAAAAAAATTATTGGTGTTTCTGATTTTAAAAAAAAATATATGTGTCAATCATATTTTTCTTCCAACAATGCAACCAAATATAGCGGTTACAGCTCTGAATGTGTCAATCAACTTTAAGTTCTAAACATTAGCTGCTACATATTTGAATATTATGCTACCAAATTTAGAATTAATTTAGTAACTGATCCAAAAAATATATATATTAAGGTGTAACGGATTTAGCAGATTAGTGAGTAATTAATTAAAAAAAATGTAACTCCTTTTGGAGGGAAATGAAAATAGGTTTTATTAAATGCATCAGCTAGTAATTATATATATATATATATATATATATGAAAAAAGAAAATGCACTTGAAATGTCCGTCAATATATTTATTGCTTTAGTTGGTCACTAGTACAATGCTCGTGTATTACACGGGTGCTTGTTAAATTTTTTTCTTAAAATTTAAAATTAATGAGAAAAAGTAGCTGAAAATTTAAATACTTTATATATATATATATATATGTGTGTGTGTGTGTGTGTGTGTGTATTATTTTAGTATAAAACTTGTTACTTGTGCGACTTACATATATTATATTATAATGATTTTTCTAACTTATACCATATAACTATGTTCATATCCGAGTTAGCTGGGAAAGAACCGGATAGGGTCGACCTCCCAAGACCCGGGCTGAGAACCCAGTTCAGCATAGAGGTGTCGAGCTGAGTTGCGAAATTAGGTGATCAGGGCAACTATAAGAACAGTTCGCGAGATCGACACTTGACATCAAGCGATCGAATTGTCGACCTCGGTCGGGTACCGGGATGGTAAAGGAATCCTGAGGACTTAAGGAGCATATTTGGTAGAAGTGCCGACCTGAAGACCCTGAGCGGTTACCTTGGAGGCAAGCGCGGGGCTGTCATTGGGTGATGGGACGGGCTGTCATAGCTAGGGGTGTTCATCGGTCGACCGAACCGAATTACCAAAACCGAATTAACTAATTTATTAAATTTCAAAAACTGAACCGACCGAATTAAGTGCATAAAACCGAAGTATAACAGAATTGATTTTTTTGGTCGGTTCGGTCGGTTAACTAATTTTTATTATTTTTAAAAATATGATTGTTTACTAGGCAAACACAATTGTCCATTCAACACACATACAACATAAAACCAACCAAATTAAACATTTCAATTCCAAATCCATCTAGTCCAAGCTAAAAATGATAAAAATAACAGCCCAAAGGCCTAAGTTCATATGAATTACATCAATTCAAACATCCCATAAAACCAATTTGTTTGGGATTTTCATAACCTTCATACCTTCAACTCTTTCTTTTAAAATTTGCATAAGAACAATTACAGATCCAAATGGATCACAACAATTTAAAAAAAAAAGTGACCGACGAAATAGACGAATCGACGACCATAAATGAAAATTCGTCTTGAACTTACCAAAATAGACGAACTGGCGACCGGAGAAAAAGAGTTACCGAGTCTTGACCGACGACAAGGAGTCGTAAACTCGTAGACGCAGCTTTGAGGGCGGAGGATTTAGGGACGAATTGACGATTTGGGGGATGATTCGGATTGGGAAGTCTAAGCTCCGCCCATCTCACACCCCTAGTCATAGCCTGCTACTCTACAACAAAGCTTAGTAAAAAAGTATGCCAGCATTAAATACCCCACATGCTTGCATTAAATGTGTGACAGACAATGATTGAAAAAACTTCAAATCGCATTAAATAACTGTCTGGGAGGCGCCGAACTGCTCTGCAGGACTACTTTGCGACAAGACTGGTGAACAGTACCTAAACAGTATATCATTTAAGGATATTATAAATAGCAACCCACTTCATTTATTTTGGATTGTTGAATTCTCAACTATCTGCCTTCTCTATACTTTCTCTCTAAGAATTGTAATAAACAGATGTAAGGATTGTAAGTGTATCACAAGTGTCGACCTCGTACGAGAAGCCGACCTCGTGATCAGTTAATAAAACCGTAATTAATTCAAATTTCGTCTCATTTCCCGTTTTGTATTTTCTTTATCAATTATTTAACCGTTGATCGGAACCATCCATCAACAAACTACATTAAACATGAATATATTAATTGAGAAATAATTTTATTTTTTAATTAATTTTAAAAATATATTTCATTATTACAAAAATAAATATAATTTATTTATTTTATATATACAATATGGATGTCAAATCGAAGCACATCAAAAGTTATATAATTTGAGACATTATATATGTAAAACGGATAAGAAATACAAAAGTTATCAACTTTTAAAATACGTTTACAATTCAATAATTATAATAGGAAAGATATTACAATAAAATTAATACATCTAAAATGATCATAAATAAATTCAACATATTTATAGTAATCCGAACATAATTAGTTTTGAATTGGAATTAAATTAAAATCTATCCAAACCAAATAACGAAGCATGGAATTTTGACACCTAGAATTCTGAAGTATGCGAGTCTGCCACTTAAGCTCAGCACATTCGAGAATTATACATAGGGGCGATTCTTAAATCACTATGTACAACTGATTATGAAGAAGACTTGTCCTCTATGCACAATAATATTTTTAACTTTTTTTTATATTATTTAAATTATTATGTATAATTATTTAAATTATTATGTATAAGTGATTATGAATTTTTTTATTACAAACATTACACATTAAATTCATGCATTATAGTAACACATGTATCACGTGGCCTTTTGTTGTCAGTATTTTTATCGGAGTAGAATTGAAAGATTCGTTCCCCAGATCGTATTGCAAGGAAGGTTAGCTGGATTTAATTGTACGTTTATTCGATCACGAAAAAGAAAATACAGGATCCTAAACACTCTATTCAATAATTTTGTTTGGGTTTAATTATCAACTAAGGATTTAAACTAATGAAAAGCAATGTAAATAGCAAGACGAATTCAATTAATGATTAAAGTGCTAGGGTATCGGGGATAATTGCTTTCGGTTCTAACACAACTACCGACAATCAATTGCTCAGTTAAAGGACTTGAATCGTTTCTCGTCCAGAGGCTCACTCTCAATAACTCTTCGTAACAAGAGAGGGAACGTACATGATCGACTATCAATTCCAACAACTCATAGACAATACTTTTACGAACAAGTCTACCCTAAACGAGCCTGAGTTGACAAACGTCTCCCCTCTCGGTTCTACACGTTTATTGATTAGGTTAGAAAGGTGATCAATCTACTAACTCTAGAATAAGCACAACTCGAATAGGTATGAACAATCAAGAACAAGCAATAATAATCGAACCTAATCAATCATCCCCCAAACTCAATGAACAATCCAAATCCAAAGCTAGAAAATAGAGTTTCAATCTCCAAAATCCAATCCAAAGAGAAAAAGCATGAAAATGAATGAGTTTCTAGATAGCAAAAACGTAAAAACGAATTCTGGAAGTCGAATAATGATCCCTAGGTCCTAATTCTGATGTAAAAACCCGCGCCTCGAAATTTGCATCGATCAAGTCGCGAGTCGCGACTTCCACTTTCCTCGAGTCGCGAGTCGCGCGTCTTTCAAAATATCTTTAAATCCAGGGAATATCGCGATATGTCTCGCGAGTCGCGGCTCCATTTCGCGAGTCGCGACTCGTCTCGCGAATGGCATCTTTTCGTCTCTGTAATTCTCGCGAGTCGTGACTATCTCGCGAGTCGCGAGAAATTCTGGCACATCTTCAGTTCCTTTTTCGGTCCTTCCTTCAGTTTTCTGAGCTTCCCGACGGGTTTCCTCGACATCACGGTTTCGGCTCAAGTCATCCCATCATCGACCGGCACAACCTACCTCCTGAAAACACAAACACGGAGAAACACGAAGCATAACACAACAAAATGACGCATAAAACAAAACTAAAGAGAAAAACACAAAATCGCAGAATTGGACCAAATAAACTACGAAAATCCTACAGGCGGGGAAAAATAAAGAGAAAATAAACCCAAAATAAAGACACAAAGGACAAACACCTTTTGTTTTAAAACACATTTATGTTTATATATTAGTAAAGATTATTAGATTTTTTTTTTTAATTTAAAAGTATCATCCAAACAAAAACATGTATGATATTTACATTATTTCTTTAATTTTTTTAAATATTATATCAAAAATAATAAGGTGTGTTTGTTTATAAATTTTCTCAATTCATACTGAGTTTATACTCAAAATCTAATTTAACTTTAAATCAACATCATTATCATCAATATTATCACAATAATAAATAATATCAATTAATCATCTTTATTCCTTACACATCACATCAACTTTAATTTAATATTCATCTATTCACATAATTTAACTAATTATCACTTCACACTATGTATCTTCTACTTTTATATTTAATCAACTTTAATTATTTTATTTAAAATATTATTTTAATATAAACTCAAAGTCTAACTAACAATTAACGATACTACATTTTCAAAATTAACACTCATTAACAAAAAAAAAAAAAATATATTATGATCAAATATATTTGTATCCAAGC